ACTGAAAAATGAAGGGCAGTGCTAATAGACGATGTTTGTCACTTATCTTCATATTTAATTTGGTCTTTTCACCCAAAAGACCCATTCTGGTCTTTACTTTTAGGATGTGATTAGAGGAAATACGCTTTGCTAGGTTGAGCAGCAATACCCGTGCATTCTAAACTTCGTGATTATCTTTGAGCTATTTGAATAGACACCTAATTAATCATCTTGTGCTGAAGAAAAGCATTTTACAGCATGCTGCAGGATCCTAATACCTCTCTCAAGTTTTTATTTTTACCCTGTAGAATTGTTTCTTTTTGCAGGGATGCGGGGGGGGGGGGTGCCCTTTTATAAGCAGGTGTGGAGGGGTTGCTAATGCTTGTGGTTTGGGCACTCTTTTCCTCAGCTTACATTTAGCTTCACCTGTGGTAACCCATGTATGGTTCTTTAAGCAGTTTCTGGTGTCTGGAGCTCATCTCGATTTTTCCACAAGCTGTCAAGAAACTCCTACCAAGTCCCCCACCTCCTACTCACTTCCCCATTCATAATCATGAGTTAAATCTGGGCTCAAGGACATTTAGGTTGGCTCAGCACAGATTTTGTACTTGCATTTTGGGGGACAGCCACTATGCTAAAAGATTCATAAAACTAATATTCTTTGTCTCCAAAATGAATCTGGTTTCTGTTGAGAGTTTCTATTGAGAGCTGTAGTGAGTAACAGATGTACACCCAAGAGGTAGCACAACTTTTGTATTCGAGTGACAGAAAACAGCTATTTATAAGAATTTAATGAATGTATTTTGTGGCTCCAGCATGGAGGCTCAGTAAGCCATTTATTTACCATATTATATTTTATTTGTTCTCCAAAGGGTGTCTTGACTTTCACTTGCCTCCTTTTTTACTTAAATAAGAGTTTTCAATTAAATAGAGTTGTATTAACACTAATCTGAATCTACCTTATGCTGATACCATTGTGGTTTTTTGTTGTTCGGGCACTAGTATTGGTGGAATGAGCAGTGTCTAGGGACATTACACCTAACTTGATAATGATGGTTTTACTAAGCCCTTATCCTGGCCAGGCCTCTGGGCATTATACAGATAATTAAAATTTGATCATAAAAAATTTTAAACACAGTGCACCTTAGCAATAAGATTTTTCTATTTTTAAAAGTGATTTTAAAACTCATTTTAAAAAATACATTTCCTTGGCCTAGTGAATTTGTTTTCTTTTTTTCCCAAGGATTACAGAAAGTGCATAGCAAATTCAGCCTTCAGAATACCCAGGAGCTGAAGACTCAAGTAGGCTACAGCTGTCTTCACCCACAGTATTCTAAAAGAACTAATGAGATGAGAAGTCTGCAGCTGGTGGCAAGCACAATAAACCATGAGCCAAGGGCTTCTCTTCATCAGAGCCTCCCCTTTCCCCATGGGATCCCAAAGGAGACAGAATACTAACAAAGCCAGCAGGCTGTCTCATTCCACACTATTGCTCATTTGCAGCTATAATTGGTAGCTGAGGTTGCATTCTGTATGCTGAAACTGTCATACATGAAGGAATATATTTGTTCATTGTGATACGGATATAAATCGGCCAGTTTTCAAATATGGAAAGACCAAACTAGATACCCAGCAATAAAATTGTAGCAAAGACGATTCTGTTCCAAAAAATTAAATGTTTGTTATAAAGGTACAAAACTGAGGTTGTTAAAACTACACCTGCTTCCTGCTTTTTAATACCTTGCTACTTAATTCAACTGATTAAACATTTACGTATTCAAACCAACATAAAAAAACAAAAATTCCTAGGTTTTGACAAGCTGCATTATCCTTATCTATCAGGGTTAAGGTGCTATTGTTAATAATTGGGTTCTGTTACGTTTTCAGTATAATACCTTTAATGTTTGCTGCTTTTTAGTCAAGAGAAGAAAGCCAGGAAGACTTACCTTGGGAGATCTGTGTATGTGTGTATAGTATTTTATATGCACACACTCCTGCCTTCTAGGCAGGTCTACTTTGATACCTCTGCTGCTGCTGCTTCATGGTGGTTTTGAAATGTGTTTTGCTTACCTGGCAGTTGTGGATGCTCTCCTGCCACCTGCCCTGTGGTGTGCTAGAGTGAGCCGCGGACGGAGGCTCAGAAGGCTTGAGTTGAAGCCCTAGGGTAAGAGAGCCATACCACTTCCTTGTCGGGACTATGGCTTCCTCATCTGCGGAAAGAGGCAGCTTGGATGGTCTTCAAGGTTGGGTTTTCCTATATAATTCTGTGAGCTCTTAGTTCAGAAAAGTATCAGTGAATAACTGGCACTAATGATGGAGGCTGGCAAGTAGACTGCAACAGTGTGTTGGGTAGAGAGTGGAGAAGTTTGGAAGCGCTATTCCGTGTTCTTCAGTTAATTAACCTGTCAAATAGGCATTGAGAAGCCCTGAGGTTGTCACCCTGGGATGGAGCTGGGTTGGGAAGGGCCTGAAGGAGTGTCGTCAATGAAGCCTGCCTGCTCCATCTGTTCATTTTCACCTTCACTGGTGCCATAATCGTGCAGTAGTTCTGTAGGCTCCATTTCATCAGTTCTAAGGTTCCCCTGCCCTCTTTTCCTCACATTTTAATACATTCAAAATTAGAGTTTGTCTTCCAGTTGTGGCATGCTTTATTGGCTGAGTGTGTTCTTTCTTAACGGCACATAAAATGGTGGAGCATCCTCTGACAGCCTCTCAGATTTGGGAAATTGATATTTACTGTTCAGCACAGGCCAGGCTCCATAATATCTCAGATTTTGCATTAAAAAGAACATTTTGAACAGCATACCCACAGTGAGGTCACACCTGAGACGGTTTAAAAAAAAAAGTATTTTCCCTTTAAACAGGATGAAATATAGAACACTCACCAGGCCTCTGGGCATTGTAGAGATAATTACAATTTAATCATAAAAATTTTTAACATACACCTTAGCAGTTAAGGTGTTTCTACCGTTAAACGTAATGTTGAAACTCCTTTTAAGAATACATTTCCTTGGCTTATGTCGGTTGATTTCGATTCTGAGTATAGTTCTCTCCATTCTCTGTTGGCAGTTAACCCATGCTATCTGGGGTTTCCATTGTCTTTTCTTTGTTTGCCTCTCTTTTTTTCTACCAGCCCAACTGTGACTTTCTAGGAGCTAGCTAGCACCCAAGTAGGTGTGTTGGTTCTCCTTACACCCTCAGAGCCCTTGGACTACCTCATAGCATCTTGCATGCTGCTTTCTATGTGTGATGGCTATGGAATAAGTAGACCTTGGTGGAGGGAGATGGTGTCAAAAGTGATTATTTGATAGAATGTTAAATATTTTCAATTTTGGGGAAAAGTGAGCTTGTCTCTAGGTTTCAGGTCCAAGCCTCCGAGCTAGAGAAAATGATGGTGCTACGTGATTATTTACATTAGCAGGATGGCTGATTCTGCACTGTGAACCCAGGTCTTGAGACCACCTGCCCAGTTGGTTCTTTTCTAAGCAGTGAAGTTAATTTTGAAGGTGTGGCTCTAAATCGGAATTTAAAAATTTGTGTTAGCTGACAGTAATTGAACTTACTGCTGATGTGCCCAGACACATGAGTAACTCCAGTTCTCCAAGTCTTTGCAGGCGGCTCGTCCAAGGTTGTCGTTCCCGGATAATGCTGACTGACCTAATGCCTGTGGCTACACCACGCTGTGTATTTTAAAGCACTAAGACCCAGTGTAGCCAGCTAAGTGTGCTTGTTTAATAATTATGGTGTGCTATTGGGGGCCTTTCTGAAGTTTTGTTTTCTACTTGAACCTCACAGTTTTCCTTCTTCACACAATTTACCTATAACTTTGTCAGTAATTATTGACATGTCATCTGCATTTCCTGAGTAAGTGCTGAATCCTGAGTGGCTGCTTCTCACCATGTTTTCTTTGATTTATGAAAGTTTGTCTTCTACTTTAGAGTATGTTCAGTGCTTGCCGTTTTCTCTAGAACAATGATTTTTCATATTTGACTTGTCTGGGCGTTTCCCCCAAAGTCTCTGGTCCTTCCTTGAATGCCATGAGGGACCCCTGGCTCAGAAATTCTACTCGAGAAGGCAAGGGCTTCCCTTTGTAGGATTTTCAACTCACCCACTGATGTCTGCTCACTGGTACCATTAAAATTCATTTATTTTTCTAAATCTGGACTTTAGCTCTTCAAAGGGAGTTTTTTCCTGTAGTTGGATTGTGTGTAGATATGTGTGCAATGACAAAAGAACTTTGGTAAAGCAGACAGGTTTAAAAAGATTTACTTCTTTCATTTCCTCCATTCTGTACGGAAGAGGATGTTAGGGAAATAGAATTGACACACACTATAGAACTTTGCTTAAAACCTAAGTCTTAGGGCCATTCCCCTGTGACATGATACAACTGAGGTGGTCCCATCACGGAGTCGTAAACCCTTCCCTCACCTTCTGTGACAACGAGGAGTTGCCGTGAGTGCAGTCCCCCTTCCATGAGCAGGCCAGGGGATTTGCATTTTATGGGTCTCTGGACAAGGGTTTGGAGAGGCTGGCCTCGTCATTGAGGCATCTGGCACAGACCCAGCCATGGAAGAGATGGTGGTGTTGCAGGATCAGTAGTTCAGTCTGTGTTCCCAGCCAGAGTAGTCGCTCTCGGTCATCACCTCTGCGTATTGTCAAGACTAGGATGAGTACCTTTTATTTCTCGAATATGACTATATACGTATCAAAATGTTGAAACCGTTAAAAAAAATGTGGGAATATTTGTTCTTGGAGATAGCTGTTCAGTAACCAGTGGCTTGCTCATCGAGACTTTTATGACTAAATATTACGTAGTTGTCTTGCCTTAACGTTAAAGTGTAAAGCAAAGAGAACCAAACCAAAAACAAGGTAACGAACCATTTTGCTACTTTTACACAAAAGCACAGTAAGTCTAATCAGTTTCTGTCCTGTGTTTTAGTAGCTGCAAAGAGCTGTTCTGGCAAGGTTAAATAATTTTCTCTGAGTTTCTTCTCTGCCTCAGACTTTGTTTTGCTTTGCAGGACTACAAAGCTGATGAAGACCCAGCATTATTCCAGTCAGTCAAGACCAAGAGAGGCCCTTTGGGACCCAACTGGAAGGTACTGGATGCTGACCTTTCTGACAGACAGAGTCTTGGCAACAAACCACTTGACAGGTCCCTAGTCTGGAAGAGCTGGTGACGTTTAAATGAAAAATAGAAATGACACAAAAATAGTTTTATTTGTGATAAGGACTTACAGCCAGTTGCAGTTGGCCAGCAAGTCTGTGCTGTATTAACAAACAGAACACAGCCAGACTGTCACTTTCAGCATAATGCTATTCTGATAACTCTTAAAAGAGACAAGTGATTTAGTCTTTGGGGATTGTACTGTTCTCTTCTGAGACTTGAAACAGTACAAAAGTCCATGTTAAATGAAGGTTTATAGTTTAAATTTAGTCTTAGTAAAAACTGAACAAGTTGCATTCACCTGAGCTCATGTTCCTGGCCTTTTAATAGTTACGTTCTGGAAACCAGGACACCAGAGAACAATTTTGATGGCAAGTAGTCGTTCTCTAATAAAGAACACATCCTTACTTTATTCATGGGAGTAGGAAAAGCAATGTTAGGGTAATCATTTAAATTGCTATAGAAATATAATGCATTTTAAAGATAGCCACTAAATGACAGACCCTTAAAGATGGCTTAATGTGGTGATGGCAAGTTATTACATTTAATTTGACAGGAGCAGGGGAACATTAAAACCTAAACATGCCCAAAGCAGAGTTCCACCAACATGTTTTACTTGGTAACCAATCTCTTCATGGTGAAGCCAGTCACCGATCACTGATAAAAGTTATCTGCGTGCTAGTTGTTGCTTGCAGATAGAGGATTACTATAACAGCACCACAAATAACCCATTGAGTGGTTCTCCATGGGTGTTGGACTGTTTTGCATACTGTCTTGCACATCAGCTAAAATGAAGAATGAGTCTGACTTTGTTCTATAAGAAATGATTCATAATTATCTTAATTTTGCATTTGTTCTCTGGGTAGAGTTCAGTTCAAGATTCTCCCAATTGAATGGTCATGGCCAGAGACTTTTAACTTTAATTCCCAGGAAGTGATATATGTCACTTATAAATTAAGGAACAAATTCAGTATGTGTGATCTAAATTTCATTGAATGGATTTAAAGAATTTCCCCACCCTTTTGCAGATTTCTAACTGTGGACTTTAGAACTAACACTGAGTCAGAGAAGTCTTTTCCCTTTGAGATTTAACCTACCTTCCAAAAAAAGTGTGTTGGAGCAGTAGATGGGTGGCCACCTCAAAGGCAGCCCTATCTTCTAGAAGGCTGTCTTGCTCCATTAAGTCCTAACGCTAGCTAACGATGCTTTTACAGGGAATAGAGCACAAAGTTGAGACTAATTTCCAACCTTTTAGGAACTTGGAATTTGATTTTTACTCCTTTTTTATTTATGATTTACCCTTTTAACATTGCTTTGTCTTTTACTATCAATCAGTGATTAATTAAAATTCTAGAATAGGTTATTTTTTAGAAATAATGTGAAATTTACATTTTTTCAGGTTGCATTATAGCATTCTTCCCCCATTGTGTTTGTGTGTGTGTGCGCTTGTGTGAGACAGTTGCTTATTATTTCTCGGAGAGGATGCTGGCTGATAGTGATCCCTTCCTACCCCTTTATCTCTTGGTTACTAACTTTAGCCAAATGATGGTGGTTGTAGCTACTCTTATAAATGGAGTTACTGCTTAACTGAATTTCACTGAATTACCATGATCCCAGAAATAACCAGTAGTGTGTCGTCGTCCGCTCCCCCCGTCCCCCTGCAGTTTCTCTTTCTGAGGTTTCATTTATCCGTGGTCGACTGCATCCTGGAATTAGTTGTTCCTTCTGAGGTCAGAAGGTCAGTGGTAGCCTGACACTGAACACAGTGCCTGCATTGACCACCTCACTTCACCTCACCATGTAGGCATTTCATCATCTCACATCGTCACAAGATGGGTGAGCTCAGTATAAGGAGATATTTTGAGAGAGAGAAAGACCACATTTGTGTAACTTTTATTACAGTATTTTGTTGTAATCGTTGTTTTGTGATTAGTTGTTGATGTCTCACTGTGCCTGATTTATAAATCAAACATGATCATAGATAGGTATGTACATGTAGGAAAAAACATAGTATATATAGGGTTCAGTACTGCCCGTGGTTTCAGGCCTCCACTGGGGGACTTGCAACATATCCCCCATGGATAAAGGGGACCTGCTGTAATTACACCATCTGCTTACTCCTCTGAAGGAAAAAAGAGAGTAGGAAGGATGACAAATAACTGCTAATTCAGCATATAGAAAACTGTGGACTGACTTGATCTTCTCAGCGTCTCCTGTAAGGAGGCCCCATTTGTCAGTAACTGTACTCCTCATGGCACTGAAGGCAGCACTGGATGATAGTTGCAGATTTCTATACTTCTGAAGTTGGAGAGAAGGCAAGGAATACATGGTAATTAGGGCAGAAAGGACGAAGAAATCCTGTTCCGGACCCACTTACCCCAGAGTGTATGTCAGAATGTTCCTGTGTCAGAGCTGCTTGGTAGCTCCACAGTGCTCCAGAGGCCTTCCATGTGCCATCCAACCCTCACCCTTCAGTCTTCCTTCCCATTCCATTGCCCCTTAGGAGAAACTCCCCTTACAGGAACAAACTCAAAAGTGTACTCAGCACTAAGTGCAAACTCTGTGATCTCTTTGAGACTTTTCCTTATGTATCCCACACTGGTGTGTTCTTCTGAAATGTTGCAGTATTTACTGCTTGTCTGCACCAGACCGGAGAGTGGAAAAGAAACTTCTCCTTTGGTGCCAGGCACTCTGCAAGGTTGTGTTTAATCTTCATGACCTTCCTGTGGGGTAAGTGCAACTGCTTCATTATATAGATGAGAAACTTGGTCAGAGAAACACAGGTAATAGTTGTAGGAGAAACAGCAGGACGTCTCCCGTTTCCATAGCACTTGATTCAGTGCTCGGCACAGAGATGTGTAATGCGTGGAGACATGACAGTTTCTGACTCAGAAGCCTGTGACTCCCCAATCACTAGTGCATCTTTTATGCCCTGTTGCATCAAGGCACTTGTGGCTGTCTGTATTCATGGTATTTACCAGAATTTGTTAATTCCTGTTAGTATCAGTTGTACATTTCCAATGGTCAGAGAGTCTGTGGGTGAAATCCATTCCCTTATCCCATGTGTCACAAGTTGTGACTTCAGTAACTTAATCCCAGCTCTGGGCCTGGGTTTCCACATCTCTAAAATGTGAGGGACGTTGTAACTGCCTCAGAAGGTTGTTGCCAGGACTGAATGAAGTAATGAATGTCACATTCCCAGCTCAGAGGAAGCTTGGGTCTTTGGGAATGAAAAGCCTCATCATGTCTTAGGGTTGATTACATCTATGCATTACATCTATGCATAAGCTACCGTATTTATGACACAGATACTCCTTGTCTCTGTCTAGTATCCAGGGCTTCCCTCGTTTCAGTATCTGGGGTTGTCAGACTCATCTTGACTCACCTCTCCTTACCCCTTGTGGTTATGTGTGTTTAGTGAGTGCTTGGCCTAGGTCAGCCATAAAGCAGAGGCCACATAAAGGCTAGGGAGTCTTTGCTAGCAGGGGATCATGGGGGTGCCAGGGAATAGATTTTCATATTTTCCAGTTAGGTTAAGAGTACAGACTTTTTTTTTTTTCTTTTTGCGTGTGGTACGATACATACCTTTTGTGTTTTGAAAACTACAGACCCAGCGATGCAGGCCTTAGTTATATATTCATTTTACCTCTGAAAAGATAATTTTTAAAATCTGAGCACATGAGTTCTATTTTGTTATGTAGGGTTCAATATTTAAGTGATTCTGTGCATACTAATAGAGTGATTTATAAATGTTTATTTCTTTGTGGCGCTGTATGCACATGCGTGTGTGTGTACATGCTTTGGTTTATTTTGGTTTTGAGGGCTTTGTGTGTATTATGACATTGGTATGACTGCCTATTCAAATGGTGTATCAAAAATAACGTACATGTGGATTCCTTTAGCTTTCCAGTTTACCTCCTCTGAACTGAAGAGTTGTCATTTTAACAAATTGAAACATCATCTTTGAAGATTATGGTGTCATTTTTATTATATGGCAAGGCCTCATTTCTTTCTTCATTTAATCCAGACGCCTCATGAAGACTTAAGCTTCTGTGTCTACATATATGAGATAGTTAGTAATTAGGCCTGTGAAGGTCTTTGTAGGAGGCTTTGCCAAAGTATCTGGCCCTTAGAGTGCTTGACATGTCTCGGAAGATTCATCTAGTGTCTGAACATTGCGGTACAGGGGATCAGGTCAAATAAAGATACTGATCTAGAAATTGGGATTTTTATGTTATCTTTCTATGTGTATTATGTGCTCTTTCTAACCATAAAGGCATGTCCGGTTAATGTTCTAATTCCACTCTGGAGCAAAAGCTCTGGTAGTTGGAGCTTTCATAACATTATGTCATGCTATTTACCTGCTCAGTCCTGCTGTAGACTCGTTTTTGAATTACCAGAGAGGCTGTTCTGGATCCTTGAAGCTAGTGGAGGGTAGCCATCTTTGTGGGGTATAGGGACACTAATTTTTGTTCTCTGCCCTGCTACCAAGACTCCTTTCTCCTCCTGCCTCACATCTATGGAAGGAAGGTGGGAGCCTTGCTTGTCAGTGGCCTGAAGTAAAGATACTTGAAGGTCCTGTTGGCCAGGGATGGGAAGAATGGAAGTGGGGGTGAGGGAGAAGTTACATCTCAGTTGTGGAAATCCCTTTGAGATAGAGGTTGGCAAGAAAACGGCCCAGAGAGTCCTCAAGAGGCTGGTGAGCACTGATAGCCCCCCAAGGAGAGAGACCGAGGGTGCTCTCCTGTCTTTATCTAGATATCGCTGTGAGTCCCAGGAAGGATGTGAAGATGTTTAAAACGTGTTCCCTCCCTATAATCTCACTTTCAAAAACCTATAGTGGGTGGCATAAAGAGGCTTAATAATTAGTTTCTGGTTAGACCACATTGTGGATTATCTATAATAAAGCTGACCTTAAAACATAGGTGTTTT